GAACGCTGATTGGCTAAGAGCCGTGTTGATATAACTCCATGTCAACACGGGAAATTTCCGCCGCTTGTAACACGGAAATTGTTCTTATTCTTTGGGCTTTTGACATTGCTATATTATAAAACAAATATAAAACATTTTTTCCGTATTGATATATAGTTATATCAACACTCGTGGAAGTTGGGAAAACTCGAAATTGTGTGAAAACACTCCGCCCTTCGGGCGTCGTGTTTCCACACAATTTCTCGTTTTCCCAATTTCCACTCGTGTTGATATAACTGTATGTCAACACGGAAAATGTTTTATATTTGTTAATTGTAAAATAACTGGATAGGAAACTTCCTGACGTCACAGTCTAAACCTAGTTGCAATCTGTGACGTCGCATGTATTGCCAAAGTTCTCAGCATTTTTGTTGTTTCGCTATATTTTCCGCTTTGAAAGAGTAATATCGAAGCATAAACTGGTCTAATTGTTTTAAAAACATGCCTAGCCACGACAAAGTATTCAAGATAAATGTTTTTCGTCTTTGTTTTGTATTTTTTAACATTTGTAGCTACGAAATTGGCGTCGCCAATTTTTACGAAATTTGCGATGCATTTTTCACTGTTTAGTGCTTGAAATATTTGCTAAAATTGACTGGGAATACTTAGAGATTTCATCGTAGAATGGCTTAGTTATATTTATTTGCTCTATGACTAAAATGTTTAGCTGTGTTATCGCTAAACATGCCGTTTTTGAGAATTTGGTTTGCAACTAGGTTTCAACGCCATCATCCCATTGAAAACATTAGGTCACGTCAGCTAGTTTCCTATCCATGTATTTTATTATCCATGGTTGTATTAAGGCGATTCGTGTAAGTAATGCATGCGCATCATTTGCACATGCTAATTGTCTTCCCTTGCATTGTTGTTTTGGGGAGAAAAAATTACCCCTACTTTCTATGGGGTAAAAATTACTCCCGTAACAGAGCTGCATAAATTACCCCTATAAAAATAGGGGTAATTTTTACACCTCTCTCACGGGAGTAATTTTTACCCCATCGAAAACTATGAGGTAAAAATTACTCCCGTAAGAGTGGTGTAAAAATTACACCTATTTTTATATGGGGTAAAAATTACTCCTTAAGAGTGGTGTAAAAATTACCCCATTTCAGAGGGGTAAAAATCGCCCGAAAAAATCGGGGCGTTCATTGGACAAACATGTTACCCCATATTTTGGGGCAATTTTTACTCCCTGAAATTTACAGTGCAATAAACCCCAAAACAGTACAATTTCGCTGTAACCAAGGCCCATGTGAAAGTATCGTTCGATTAAATCAACACGCTCAAAATTATTATTTTCCAGAATAGGCAATTAAGGAGGTAAAACAGCTTCGCATCTCAGATATAATGGCAAAAATAAGAACAACACGTACAAGATACATTTTTATCGCTTGGATATTCGGTTTTTAAAATACTTGAGCAACAGTCTAGCAAAAATATTGTGGAAAAGTCGAGAAAAAAGTCGTGCAAAAAGTCGAGAAAAAAATCGAGAAAAAAGTCGAGAAAAAAGTCGTGCAAAAACTCAACACGATCCTATGAGTTAGCAACGTTCGAAAGTTAATCGCGATTCAAACAAATTATTAAGCGCGATTCAAAAAGTTGAGAGCAATATTCGTATGGCCCTTCCGGGCTTCCGTACGTATAGGTGATGCATTTTGCTTCAACTGTGACGTCGAAGGATGCGGTAAAAAAATAACATATTTTGTCGCGAAAATATTGACGCTTAAGTGTCGCAAAATAACAGAAAGTACAGATTTGCGATCGCACGTCGCATATTGGACTTTATATTTTGACAATTTCGACTGTTATTGAGACTATTTAAATTGGATTTCATCCTAAATAGTGTATTCCTGACATGGAGTCAATTTTAAGCAAAGATTTGTGGGTTGGTAGGAGATATTTTATTACTGAGTGCTTTGACTGTTGGCGACATTATATATCTATATATTTCAAGCAACATGATTTCTCAATTTTGACCGATGCATTCGCATCGCTGGCATCGGTCTGGATCCGCCCCTGTATTTACATAAGCTCTCTCAACAATGATATGGGCAATGCTGTTTAACCGTTTTTGGCCTATTGTACTTCCAAGATTGGTTTTGAAGCGGCGAAGAGCGCTGAAAGATCTCTCAGCAGAGATCATAGTGTGTCATAGCCGTGGTGCCGCCCAGGGCCAGAGACTGTATTTAGCAACCAATGCTATCAAGGGAGATAGACATTACTGATCCGATTGTTACTACGCACACTTATACCACACCTAAGCAATATGTGCAGCTATATACTATATAATTATATAGTTTAATAGTTGTATAGCCTACATTATGCTAGGTAATTAAACTGCTGAATATAGACATGAATACAGTAGTGACATTTTATTAGTTGCCATAGCAATTGTTCCTTCGTTCTAGCCGTTTTTGTGGGGATTTTATACGTCTGTGGTATGTGCGTAAAAATCAAAACCAAATCCGATTAAGTTAGGGCACTTGACCTTTAATAAATGTTAACCTGACGCAACATGCTTGAATCCAGCTATGCGATCTATGGTAGTAATAAATATACACAAACGTTGCCATTACAGATTTACAGTGCATGATTGAACCTGTAAAAGTTGAACTTATTGAAATAATACTTCTGTTCCGCTTTATGGATCAATATATTCGTCTAACCACCAGACCGTCGTTGCCCGAATGACAAGACAATTTTTGCCCGAATAGGATAAATTCTCAAAAAATTGGGGGGGGGGGCTGCAGCCCCCCAGCCCCACCCTCCCGTACGCCTATGGTTGCAATTGCTTCGTCAATGAGGTCGATGGACGCTCCAGCATATACCATAATGTTAAGGTGTTGCCCTTCTATTTCGACTAAATTTGCTCATTACTAATAGCGTTGTCCGCAATTGACGTCACGAAAATTCGACCCCCCGCGAAGACTCAGACAAACATTGGCAACATTTAATATAAATAGTATTATGATTGAAAGCTTCCTGTGAGTTAGTTTGATAGTTTGATGTTTGTTTACGGTTTATTTGTGCGAAATCATACACACCTTGTACTTTTCGCTTTACCTGAAGTGCTAGTGCAAAATATTTTTGCTTTGGAAGTAGAAATATACACTTTTTCGTCACTTTAGTATAGACTGTCGTCGTTTCTATCATAAGCGGTGTCTACTGTATTATAATAGTACATGGTTTGGCGTGACTGTTGCTATAAAAGAGGCCATAAAGAAAGGGTATGCAAAAGAAAGGGCAATAGAAAGTCTGTAGCTAGTAGCAGATATTTAACCGAAAAAATCTCGTAGTCGTACCAGATTTAATTCGTAGCCCTAGCGAATCAGTTCTAAAGTTCCCTATTTAATGTTGTTGATTTCATGTTTATACTAACTTATATGGATTTTAATACTCGCTTTAGTGTACATTATTTTATTACTTTAGACATCTCTATAATTAATAGCAAAGTCCAAAGCCAAAGAAGCTAGGATTGTTTACTATAATCTATTGACTACATATTCAACTTATAAAATACGGATTTATTAGGAATGTAATTAAAACTAATACTTTCAAATTTAAACTTTTTTAAAAAATGTCAAAGATAAACTACAAACTATATAAAATCTCAAATATAAAATCTTCCGTTGACCAGTATTTTGTTTTGACAATACAACAAAAATATGTTATTATAAAAACAACACCTTTATTTATCTATTTTTAAATATTCAGTTTTGTATTAAAAATAGAGAACCTCTCTTTAACACTGTGTTAATTAATAGCCTAACACTGTCTGGTAAACTATTGCTTCTCTCTCAGTCATAAATTTAACAACAGACGCTCTCACTGAAAACGATGGCGTCCCAGACTCATATTTTGAGCATGATCCATCAGCTTATACTGTCGATTAAACAAAGCAAAGCGGAATAAAACGCCAAGTAAGCGGTATTATAGCAAAGCGCCGGTATAAAACGCCAAGTTCTTCTTCAGCGAGTTCGGGAAAGCATCATTCGCTGGATGTATTGACGGGGGGAAATGGTTAGCTGCGAGAGTTCTTGGAGAAAAACCAGCATAGTCCGCAGTCAATAACAATCAACACATTGCTACTGCAGACATTCCCGTCCCGTCCGACTTTTCAATTCCCTGTTTCGGTAGTTTTTCTTAGTATCTCGAATCACTTGGACATGTTCCCCAGCAACAGTGCTTAGCATTAACCATGTTTGTAATTTGGGATAAATTTGAATTCGTTTTAGCACAGATAAAATAAATAAAAACGTCAATTTAGACCAATTTATGTTCGCTGCTAGTACAATTCTATACAAAATGTTAGTTTGTTTGTCTGAGTCTCGTGGGGGGTCTTCACTTAGAAAATCTATTTTTAGCTACTGCGGACAACGCTATTAAAAAGGTCAATGTTTTCGAGTGACATGCAAGTTCGATGGAGCATACATACATGATAGTGTCAGAATTTCTAGCAGTAAATACTGTTCCTTGTTTAATGGCCGTAAGGAGACTCGAAGACCTAATTTTAATCTGGAAGCAAAGAAACGTCAGTAATCTCGGGGAACGAGGCTACCCTTGCTTCAGTACATACATATAAGTTATATAACAAATAAGAGGCTTATACTGCTACTGAAAGCACAGGGCGAAGTCGCTTTAAATGACTTTAAACGTCCTATCTTATGAGTTCGTTTGCGAAATAATTGTAAAAATAAACGTGGTCTGAGTCGAGAAAATCAATACTAAAATTTATGTAAATTAACATGATTTTTTCTTTAACATGATTTTTTTTTCTTAAGAATTATTAAACAAGTTTTTTTTAAGCATTTTTTTATTTTTAAAGCTGATAAAGAGTTATCCTTCTAGGAATACCTAATGCGAAACCAATCGTAAAGAAGATACCAAATAAAGCACTCTATGATATTGGAGAGGAGGTAAACCTAACATGCAGAGCAGAAAACACAACCAATGGGTATGAAATGGAATGGTACAAAATCAGCTCCAATGGAGAGCTAATTGAAATGGATAAAAATAAGTCCGAATGGGTTGGCGAAATTCAAAATCAAACTTTGTTGTTGAAGTCATTGTCAGCGCAGGATGTGGGAACCTACAAGTGTAAAATATCATTTCTTGAGTATAGCGCCTCTGAGTCGGCAAATATAACCCTGAAAGGTAATGATCAATATATTTTTATTAAAAATTCTTTTAATTTCATTTTTTTATTTTCCCGGTCCCGCTATTATTTATTCTGACGTGCATGCGACAACTTTCGGTCGTCCCAGTGCCAGCAATGCCAGTACGCGCATTGTCGGGCGTAAACCATGCATAATGCCGCGTCCGAAGTGAGAAGTCAATAATTTTTTCCGGTGAGCATCACCGTTTTCGGCACTTGCAAATATTCGCCGAACATGGACTGAACTGGTATGTGTAACAAGAATTTAAAGTAAAATTGTTGATCAACAGTGACAGTGTCACAACTACCAAATTTTCAAAAACTGATGAAAAAATCATTATTATTATTATTATTATTATTATCATATATTATATGTTATTATATAATCAAAATATTTTTTGTGCGCATGCCATTTTTAACGTGGTTTTTAAAAACAGCCCTTCTGCACTCGGAATTTTATTTTCAATTTTATGCCGCCATGCTTGCATAACGTTTTCACAAATTTACGTAACTTGCAGTTATAATTAGCGAATATTTTCGATCTGTGAAGTACTTTCTATATACGCCCTGTTTACAGATTGCAAAATATGATTTGAAATAATTGCTTCTCTTGACAAGAAGATTGTGGGAAATTATATTTTAAGTTTATATATCCGTGAAAATATGAACTAATTATTTCTGATGTGTTAGGGAGCAGTCATTATTAATGCCCGGGGGAGAAGAAGATAGTGAAAGGGCCAAGAAAATTTTTTGAACTACCAAGGACTGGCTTGCAAAAAAGACAGGGGCAGAAGGGGGGGGGGGGGTAGCTGCCAAAACAAATCATAGAACATCACTAATTCACTGTAATGTAAACTTCAATACCATCTAATGTATTTTGGAGGGCTTCTTTGGACCTCATAGACGTTTGCGATTTTGCGTTTCGCAACTTAGTCTTATTTAGTTATTGGTTTTTTTAATCTTCACAGGGTCTGGAAGGTGGATCTTACCGTGAAAATTGTATAATAGGTGTATGTAGTATATAGTGCGTGCGGTATTTTGTGTATTTTTTTTTAATTCTCGATCAATGCTAACGTCGTGTAAAATTGTTCTTTTGCTATGGATATATAGGTGTGACATAATGATGTTCATTCATTTACTCAAAGGGTCTTGCAAGCGAATCTTCCATTGCAGTAGGTGATAACAGTGGCGAAACCAGCCCAAAGGAACTGGTCATGCAATCGAGCGCCGAAGGCGCGAGGCTTGCTAGGGCAATCCGGGGGCATGCCCCCCCCCCCAGCAATCTGAGCATCAAATTTCTGGAAATAGCTTGACCTAATGAATGAAAAAATGTGGATACTTTAGCATATTTCAGACAACAACAATGAAAATTGACACAAAAATAGGAAAACCCCATTCACAATATCTAAGTTTTGACTGTTTCGCTCAATGTCAGAGCTCATCAGCACGCCTAGGACAGCTTGAATCAAGCAGCCAGACATGGACAGTCAAAGCCTGCCAACGCTTATTTAGTTATTTGTGGTTTTCTAATATTCTTTATGTTTTCTATACTTGTCTAAAGTCTCTGCTCTCCCCCGCCATACAATGCTGTCACCACAATGAAGATCACAATGAAGTGGATATTTCCCGAACTATAGAGACAATATAATATGAATTTTATAATGGGGTCACCACAATTAAGTGGGTATCTCCCAAACTATAAAGAGAATATAATATGAATTTTACAATGGGGTCACCACGATTAAGCGAGTATCTCCCCAACTATAAAGAGAATATAATATGAATTTTATAATGGGGTCACCACAATTAAGTGAGTATCTCGCCAACTATAAAGAGAATATAATATAAATTTTATAATGGGGTCACAACATTTAAGTGGGTATCTCCCCAACTATTAAGGAAAATGGACATTACCATGGAATATGGAGTCACCACAATGAAGTGGGTATCTCCCCAACTATGAAGAGAATAGAATATAAATTTTTAATGAGGATGCCACAATTAAGTAGATATCTCCCCAACTATTAAGGAAATAGGACATAAATTATAATGGGGTCACCACAAAGAACTGGAGTTGTTATCACCCCAACTGACCCAGGTAACCTTTACTTTAAAGGAATGCAAGTCTTCTGGGCTTTTCAGCAAACTTAACAAGTACTTGCTCATGCAGGGTATGTGCATCTTTCTTTGACTTTAATATGTCTTTGTGGATAGATATCCGACAAAGAGAACTCAGACGGTCTTAGGTCATGGTTGCCCTGAGATAGGTCTTTACTCTCAGCTCTTTAGGCAAGATAAGGACCTTTCCGCTGAAGCGCTAGTCAAAGAAAACACACCATTCATCTTCAGTAGCTTGACAACTTCTGGCAAACTACATTGCATATTAAATTCACAAATATACTGTAAAATTGCCATACTAGTATCTTTATAGCCTGCGTGGGAGGCCCTCAGTTTTATGGGGGGCCTGATTTGCAACGGGCAGGATTTTGGCGGGCACGGGGGAGGATTGAGGGCCTGCAGGAAAGCCCACCTTTCATGA